GACAGACGGACATGCGTAAATCGACTCAGAAAGTGATTCTATGCATATTCTCAAAACCATGTGTCTATCTCTCTTTCCTTTTGCCTGTTACAAACATATGCACAAAGACATATTACCCTGTACCATAGTGGGGTGAAGGGTACAATCAGCGATGTTTGGGCCAGAATTGCGGCCTCTAGAGCGAACAGAAAAACCGACAAAAATTAAGTATTTGGTTCATTCCACCCCCCTAAATATAAGCCGATCTTTGCCAAAAACAATAGGGGCCTTCATTGACCAGAACCCATTCTACTTGCAAAATTTCGTGGAGATTGGTCCATAATTGTGGCCTGTATCGTGTTTACAAATTATAATGGACAGGCGAACGGACGGACACACATGCCTAGATCGAGATATGACTATCGGTATACTTAAAGGTGGGTCTAGGACCAATATTTCGCGGCGTAACAAACTCGTGGGGCTGCACAAAGCTATAATGTCCTGACAACATAGTTGTGTAGGGTATACAAATTCAACCCTAATGGCAGGCTTGGAAGAAATATTTTTTAAAAATCCACGCCTAATAGTAGACATTAAAAAATTATTTTTTTTAATTCACATATTAAAATTGTTTAAATTCACGCGTAATGGTATACTTTGAAAAAAAAAAAAAATTATATCCACACCTAATAGTAGACTTAAAAAAATTTTAAATCTCTGGCCAATAGTAGACTTTGAAAAGTATTTTTTTAATCCTCGCCTAATAGTAGACTTTGAAAAGTACTTTTTTAATCCAAGCCTAAGAGTAGACTTAAACAAAATTTTAATTCCCGCCCAATAGTAGACTTTGAAAAGTAGTTTTTTTAATCCTCCCCTAATAGTAGACTTTGAAATTTATTTTTGTAATCCTCGCCTAATAATAGACTTAAAAAATAATACCCCGCCCTATAGTAGACTTTGAAAAGTATATTCTTTTAATCCTCGCCTAATAGTAGACTTTGAAAATTATTTTTTTAAATCCACGCCTAGTAGTAGACTTAAAAAAATTTAAATCCCCGCTTAATAGTAGACTTTGAAACGTATTTTTTTCAATCCTCGCCTAATAGTAGACTTTGAAAAGTATTTTTTGAAATCCACGCCTAGTAGTAGACATTGAAAAATACTTTAATTAATCCACATCTGTGGTGAACCATTAAAAAAATATTTTTAAAAAGCCATAACTGTGTATAACCCTTAAAAAAATATTTTATAACAAATCCATCCCTTGACAAAATATTAAATAAAAGCTGACACTTATAAGAGCCTCTGACAAAATATAAAAATCCTGTAGTTTACAAAATATCCACCATGCTGTACATTTCCACCCATTAAATTACCAAAATAAATCCAATATTGGTTTCCGACCAAACTACATATTCTTTTTCGTTTGTTTTAATATTAACAAGAATAATATCCACTTCCTCGTATGTGTGTGTGTGTGTGTGAAATCCCATAACCATGAAAATCAACTTTCCCAGTAAACCATATGTAACCACAGGCCTTTAATTCACCCATTCGTTTATTCATTTATCTACTTGCCTTGTGGATAAGCCAACTTTCTCCTCTCTTCATTACAAATTCCAATGAATTGTTCTCCCTCTCTGCTTTGCTGTTGTTATTGTTGGTAGTGTTGTATTGTAAATCCTTTTTTTCATTTTGTCAATTCATCTTTTCAGTTGATTTAATAAAAATTCTCTTTGTCTTGTAGCTGTTGACTTATGGTCATGAATGGTTTTTTGGAGCTTCTCAATAACAATTGAGTTAAGTAAGAGGTCGGAATGTGAAGAATACATCCCAATAACTGGGATGTATGAATGTAATTTTTGGGGAGGATCTCATATATAAATATGGACATGAGATATACAATTCAACGTAAATATGAAATTCTATGTTCTGTGGTTGGGTACCCTGTGGGACAATAGGCTATTTGTGTAGTTCGAAATTATCATATGGTGTATATATAGCTTATGGACCCTTTGGAAATATATATATTTAATTTTTGGGGATTTAGTTACAACCAATAATGGGTATACCCACATATTGGCCAAATCTTCAATCTGCCAATTAAAAGAAAATTGTTCATTTATTCATGTCACTTTTAAAGCCGATATATCCCTCCATTAAATATGACTTCCTTTCACTCTCATTTTTCTCCTAATTTCCTACCAACACATATAACCTAAAAACCCACATACACATATATTGGCCAACATCTGACGTTACCATTTTTTTGAGGGGTTTTCATTCAATTATGCATGATTTAACATAATCCCCCTATCCTTCTCCATCAATAAATGTCCATCAAAGTCAATATAACAGTAGTTTGTCTATATCAAAGCGGAGAGCAAAAAGCTCCGACAACAACACCTCCAGCAATAAAGCTTAAGCCATTTCCAACATTTATAAGCCAATACTTATCAATAACAATCAACTTGGACACAACAACAGCCTGTCGGTCTGCCCTGTTCCTTTAGGCGGAATTTCCTCATTTTTTTTGGTAGAGGAAATATGAGAGCGAAAACGAAATTGCAACAATTTAAATACAAATTTGTTAGGGTTAGGCAACAGCAACAACAACAACAAAAAGGGGGAACAATATCAGAAATTGTATTTGGGTTTATTGATTGGGTTTTCTGTGCGGAAATCGATATGTTTTGAAAGGGATAGAAATGTATTTCGGACATAAATTGGGGAAACGTGTTTGAAGGAAAGCCACTTGGAAGGATATGGAATTCAAGTTAATAAACTGGATTTTTTTTTTCAAAGGATCAGCAACGTTATTGCCGCACTCTGCAACGAATATATCAATACCTAAAAACCTGTAAGAAAAGTAGTATAGTCGGGCGGGGCCGACTATCTAATACCCTTCACAACTTTGGATATATTCAACAGATGAATCCTAACAGATGACGCATTTTTAAAGCACCAGTTAAATGAAATTGGACCCATAAACATGCCATTCTGCAACCGAGACTAAATTTTTCATTTGGTCAGATATAGAAGCTATATCTAAATCTGAACCGATTTCCAGGAAACTTAACACACATCATTTTGGACCTAATTCGTTACGTTGTTTCGCTTCGTGCAAACCGAAAGATATGTAGGGACTTTGGTGGACCATTTACATTAAATCGGAAGAAAATATATACGGGAGCTATATCTAAATCCGAACCGATTATCACGAAACTTAACACACACCATTCTAGACCTAATTCATTACGCTGTGCCAAATTTCGTGAAAATCGGAAGATATATAGGCACTTTGGGGCATCATTTACATTAAATCGGACGAAAATATATACGGGAGCTATATCTAAATCAAAACCGATTTTCAGGAAACTTAACACACATCACTCTATACCTAATTCATTGCACTGTGCCAAATTTCGTGCAAATCGAGAGATATATAGAGACTTCGGTGCATCATTTACATTAAATCGGACGAAAATATATATGGGAGCTATATCTAAATCTGAACAGATTTTTTCAATAGGGTTCGTCCTTGGGCTAAATAAGTGACCTATGCCAAATTTCATCCAAATCGGATCATAAATGCGACGTGTACTTTGTTCACAAAAATACATGGACGGACGGACATGCGTAAATCGACTCAGAAAGTGATTCTATGCATATTCTCAAAAGGAACCATGTGTCTATCTCGTTTCTTTTTGCCTGTTACAAACATATGCACAAAGACATAATACCCTGTACCACAGTGTGGTGAAGGGTATAAATATTAAAAACAAATCTACGCCTACAATTAACCCGTTAAAAATATTTAAAAAATCCGGGCCTACAATTGACCCCTAAAAAATATTTATAAAAAATCCACGCTTAAAGTTGATGCCTAAAAAATATTTTAAAAAATTCCACGCCCTAACAATATTTAAAAAATCCACGCCTACAGTTGACCCTTGAAAAATATAGTCGGACGTGGCCGACCCTACGATACACTACACCACTACCACGGAACTCTAACTTTCTGCGGATTTTATTCCGAGCCTGTGCACTATTTCATGATATTTCCACCCTCTTGACCGATTAGAGGTCAACTGCACCTCTTCCTAACACTGTCATATCCTATAGATTTTCTATAGATCGAATCGAAAAAAAACACAAAAAATATGTTTTCGGCCCCCTTCATCACAAAATTATTATCTGATTATCATCGCAAATTATAGGCGTTGTCCTTGACCATAACTGGATACTCATGGAACATCTCAAAGCGATCAGCGCTATATTTCCGCAAATACAAATTTTGTAATTTTTCACACAAAAGTCGGGGTCCATTTAGCCGGTCAAATGGACCCCGATCATTGATCATTCTTTATCAAGACAGCCATGCTTATTCTTTGGCCCGATTTCCTTCTCCATGTAAAAATTCGGGATGTTTGGGCCATAACTGTGGCCTCTAGAACGACAAGAAAAACCGACAAAGATTAAGTATTTTGTCCATTTTATCTCTTAAATATTAACCGATCTTTACCAAAAACAATAGGGGTCTTCATTGCCCGGAACCCATCTTATATGCGTATCGTGAAGACTGGTCCATAACTGTGGCCTGTATCGTGTTTACAAATTATAGTGGACAGACGGACGGACGGACACACATGTCTAGATCGACTCAACCAGTCGAGATATGACGATCGGTATACATAAAGGTGGGTTTTAGGACCAATTTACAAACGTTGGGGCTGCACAAAGCTATAATACCCTGACAACATAGTTGTGTAACGCCTTATTTTTAAGAAACATCCACCTATATGATTCCTTGCAAATAATGTTTTTTTTTCTAAAAATTTAAATAACTACCTATCATTCATTTATGTTCTGAAATACGCCAAGTAAGTAGAATAATGCTTCGTCTGAGACTTCAATTCCCCTCTTCAGCATTCCTCCTCTAATTACACTTTAATTCACGAAAATATTCAATGTAACCCAAGGGCTTTGGAGCTCTTTTTTGTCACCATCTATCTACTAACCTTAATGTTTCCACTTCTTTGCGTAAATCCAAATCATTATTCGGGTTTGTTTGTTCATCCTGTGCTCCTGCTGCTGCATCGGAATGTTTGTCCTGCGTTATCCTTAGAGATTTACGTAAATTACGTTCCAGTAGCTCATAATCCTCGCGGCGACGATTCATTAAAACATTCAATTGTTTTGATAATAGACGGACCTGATCTCTTAACGATAATGACTGCATATATGAGTTGTTGTTATTGTCGTTGTCATCCTCATCATGGATGTTGTTCGTGTTGGATTGGCGGCTTTGTCGCGATGGCAAATGGATTTCATTGTCAACGCTGTTATCTGCAGATCCACCCTGGACATAATCAGAATCTGTTGCATCCTCACTGTTGTCGCTGTCATCATCATCGACAAAACGCAACAGCTCGGCACTGGGTTCATTGTAGCTGTTGTACAGGCCATTATCATCAGTGCCATCGTTGTCGCTGCGCAAAATATTTTCGGTCATTTGTCGATGTTCGTAGGCCGCCGAGGAGGAGGAGGACGCGGTTGCTGCCATCGATGACATTGTCGAGGGCATTGTGTTCATTGATTCCGTTGAGGTATCGCGCAACATGTTATTCATATCGATGATAACGCTGGCCTCAGACCAGCCGGCAAAACCGGACGTTATTAAGAGTTGTAAAGCAATTATGGGCATAATTAGCCCCAGATACCGGTACGCGTTTAACATTTTGTCACAATGACTTCAAGGGTTTGCTTTTTTCGTATTTATGTTTATTATAACTTTTTTTTAATTGTTTAGTATTTTTTATTTTCTTTTTCTTTTTAATTCAATTTTTTTTTTTCAAAATTCCTTTCAGACACTTCTATATAGTCACCATTCTTCCGTGTAATCCTTTTCCTTTTTTTCGTTTGAATTCCTAACACAATCAATCAATCACTCACAACACCACGCGTCGCAGTGTTGGTAATTTGTGCGTGTTTTTATGTGTGTGCAAAACACTCACACACAAACTCGCTTCAAATTTTCTTCCTTGTATTTCAAATTTATTTCTTTTTCTATTCTTCTCAAATATCCTTTATTTTCGCTTAACGGTTTGTATTACACGTCCGTTCGTTAAATGTTCACGACGGTACTTGCTTTAGGACTAAATTCGTTTCACTATTTCATTCGTCCTTTTATACCAAACAGAAACCGTACACACACTCTCTCATTGAACACAACACAACAAGAGTCACTCTCTCACAGAGTATGTGAGTGAGAGACACAGGTCCATATAAGGCGTGGATTTTTTAAAGAATATTTTTTCAAGGTCCATATAAGAAAAGAATATTTTTTAAGGGAAACAAGGTCCATATAAGGCGTGGATTTTTTAAAGAATATTTTTTCAAGGTACATATAAGGCGTGGATTTTTTAAAGAATATTTTTTCAATAAGGCGTGGATTTTTTAAAGAATATTTTTTGAAGATATCGTGGAAAAGAATATTTTTTCAAGGCCTGGATTTATTAAAGAATATTTTTTCAAGGCCTGGATTTATTAAAGAATATTTTTTCAAGGTCCATATGAGACGAGGAATTATTAAAGAATATTTTTTCAAGGCCCATATAATATTTTTTCAAGGTCCATATAAGGCGTGGATTTTTTAAAGAATATTTTTTCAAGGTCCATATAAGGCGTGGATTTTTTAAAGAATATTTTTTCAAGGTCCATATAAGGCGTGGATTTTTTAAAGAATATTTTTTCAAGGTCCATATAAGGCGTGGATTTTTTAAAGAATATTTTTTCAAGGTCCATATAAGGCGTGGATTTTTTAAAGAATATTTTTTCAAGGCGTGGATTTTTTAAAGAATATTTTTCAAGGCGTGGATTTTTTAAAGAATATTTTTCAAGGCGTGGATTTTTTAAAGAATATTTTTTCAAGGTCCATATAAGGCGTGGATTTTTTAAAGAATATTTTTTCAAGGTCCATATAAGGCGTGGATTTTTTAAAGAATATTTTTTCAAGGTCCATATAAGGCGTGGATTTTTTAAAGAATATTGGATTTTTTAAAGAATATTTTTTCAAGGTCCATATAAGGCGTGGATTTTTTAAAGAATATTTTTTCAAGGTCCATATAAGGCGTGGATTTTTTAAAGAATATTTTTTCAAGGTCCATATAAGGCGTGGATTTTTTAAAGAATATTTTTTCAAGGTCCATATAAGGCGTGGATTTTTTAAAGAATATTTTTTCAAGGTCCATATAAGGCGTGGATTTTTTAAAGAATATTTTTTCAAGGTCCATATAAGGCGTGGATTTTTTAAAGAATATATTTTCAAGGAGTGGATTTTTTAAAGAATATATTTTCAAGGCGTGGATTTTTTAAAGAATATATTTTCAAGGCGTGGATTTTTTAAAGAATATATTTTCAAGGTCCATATAAGGCGTGGATTTTTTAAAGAATATTTTTTCAAGGTCCATATAAGGCGTGGATTTTTTAAAGAATATTTTTTCAAGGTCCATATAAGGCGTGGATTTTTTAAAGAATATTTTTTCAAGGTCCATATAAGGCGTGGATTTTTTAAAGAATATTTTTTCAAGGTCCATATAAGGCGTGGATTTTTTAAAAAATATTTTTCAAGGTCCATATAAGGCGTGGATTTTTCCAAGAATATTTTTTCAAGGTCCATATAAGGCGTAGATCTTTTAAAGAATATTTTTTCAAGGTCCATATAAGGCGTGGAACTTTTAAAGAATATTTTTTCAAGGCGTCCATTTAATATTTTCAAGGCGTGGATTTTTTAAAGAAAATTTTTTCAAGGTCCATATAAGGCGTGGATTTTTTCAAAGAATATTTTTGGAGGTCCACATAAGGCGTGGATTTTTTCAAGGTCCATATAAGGCGTGGATTTTTTATATTTTTCAAGGTCCATAGGAGGCGGGGATTTGTTAAAGAATATTTTTTCAAGGCCTACCAAAGGCGTGGATTTTTTAAAGAATCTTTTTCAAGGTCCATACAAGGCGTGGATGAATATTTTTCAAGGTCCATACACACAATGCGTGGATGAATATTTTTCAAGGTCCATACAAGTGGATTTTTTTTTCAAGGTCCATATAAGGCAAGGTTTTTAAAGATATTTTCAAGGATTTTTTAAAGAATATTTTTTCAAGGTCCATATAAGGCGTGGATTTTTTAAAGAATATTTTTTCAAGGTCCATATAAGGCGTGGATTTTTTAAAGAATATTTTTTCAAGGTCCATATAAGGCGTGGATTTTTTATTTTAAAGTATAAGCGTTTTTATTTTTTGAAAATATTTTTTCAAGGTCCATATAAGGCCGGGCCTATATATTAACCCAAAAAAAAAAAACAAATTTAGTTTTCGGCCCACTTCATCCCAAAAATTTAATCTGATCATCACTGAATGTTATAGGCGTTGTCCTTGATAATACCTGGATCCTCAAAGAAAATTTCACACCGATGAGCGCTATATTTCTACCCTCTATTGTGGTAATAATATATGAATACGTAAGCACCTGTAAACATTTAAATTTAACTTCCACATCCGAGTACATACGCCAATATAATTGGTATAAATTTAAAGGCCAGCAACTCCTCTTGGATGTACTATAAATTTTTCGGGTCTATGTGCTTCAGAAGTAAATATATATGCCATAGAATAGAAATTTTGTCAATTTTCACACAAAAGTATGGGTCCATTTGACCCGCTAAATATCAAAACAGGCATGCTTATTCTTTGGCCCGATACCCTTCTCCATGCTAAAATTCGCGATGTTTGGGCCATAATTGCGCCCTCGGGCGCGACCAGAAAATCAGACAAAAATAAAGTTTTTGGTCCATTTCATCCCCTAAATATTAACCGATCTTTTCAAAAAACAATAGGGGTCTTTATTGGGTAGAACCCATCCTACATGCAAAATTTCGTGAAGATTGGTCAATAACTGTGGCCTGTATCGTGTTTACAAATTGTAATGGCCAGACGGACGGACGGACACAGATGTCTAGATCGATTCGAGATATCGGTATACTTAATGGTGGGCCTAAGACCAATATTTAACAAAGCTATAATACCTTGACAAAATAGTTGTGTAGGGTATAAAAATCGATTTTTTCAAAATCCACGGATGTGTTTTAGAAAAATCTATGCCTGTCGGTATTGCTTACGATTGTCCTTCCTGTTGGTACCCAATTCCTGTCTATAAAGAAAATTATATTGATTTTTGTTCGCATTGTTTTGTATATTTCCAAATTTCACATTGTTCCAAATTTCTTGAAGGGATTCAGTTTAGTACTAATCTCTTCAAACCAAAAACAGAAATTCTCTTTAAAAAGGGAGCACGTTTTGGGTCTATCTCAAATTACCCACATGCTACCAGGAGAGTTGCTGTTGTTGTTGTGGGTATTTGCAAAAACAAAAAAAAAAAAAAAAAATCCAAAACACAAAACGTGAATTCGTAGAACGACAGATGTTTCCATTCTGAGAGTAGCTGCTACTCAAAACAAAACACCAGCAGACGGCCTGCCAATGGGTTTGGCGGATTGCAAAAGGTAGGTAGCTAGGTGCCAGGCTGCCAGTGAGAGTCGGCTGTTGTGGCGGCGATTATTTGTTAAAATTTCACGTTTAGTTTTTTTTATCCATTTCTCTTTTTATTAAGCGTTTCCTTTTTAATTGTAATTCTGCTGGTGCTGTTTTGCATTTTGTGTCCGATTTCTGTTTTGCCAATTGTGTTACCACACATTTTTCAGAATAACAACAAAAACAACAACACAATCGAAATTGCAACAAACTACTGAGTAACAATAAAAATGCCAGCCAGAATAGGAAATGCACCCGCGCAACAGTTCGCTGTGGCCTCTGGCAGGGGTTTATCGCTTGACTTAATTTTCGGGAGGGGGTTCAAAGCCACACAACTATCTGCTACGCTGTACATTATTTTCTGCACTTCGTAATTCTTTCTTTGGTCTGGGGTTTTATTCTATGCCACAAAAACCACCAACTGTTCTTTATCCACCAATAAATGTGGGGGTAGTTTCCAGACAGTTTCTTGTCTTGCTGTTGATGTTGAGTCCATAGACCAGACAAGCTGACCGACCGACCCTTCATAATTCTGTACTTTTATTTTTTTTTTGCATATTCTGTTTTCATTGCCTTGTCTTGTTAGCTATGGCCACGGAAAATGCAGGTGGGCAGATGAGACCAACATCAACAAGAACACCAACACCGACAAGAGAGAATATGATAGGAAGCTTCTATTATGTTCGGAGTAGTTGGCATTTTGTTTATTCGTTAAATTATTAAATACGCTTGGCTGCACTTTTATGATCCCTCCGGTATTTAGTAGTCTCCTTTTGTTAACCTTTATTTTGTTCGAGAGTTGTTGAGTGTATGGGTGAGAGTCTTTATGTGTGTGTGTGTTAAGGTTGAGGTGGTAATAACAAAACCTGTCAAGATTTCAAGAAAACTTCATTTAATTGTTGTAAAACTTCCATGCACCATGGGAAGGGATGTACTATAGACCGTACAGAGGAACATCAGGAATTTTTCAAAGGTTATACATAGGTCTGGTTTAAAAAAATATATTTTCAGGGTCTACCAACAGTAGTGGATTTTTTAAATATATTTTTCAAGAAATAATTTGTTCACTCTCTTTAGACTTCCCAAACTGATTAGCTCCTCCACAACTCCTCCATGTACA